AACTACTCTCTCTCTCTCTCTCTCTCTCTCTCTCTCTCTCTCTCTCTCTCTCAATCAATCAAATGGGAATCCAAAATTTTCACCCATCCCATTCTCAAATTCACTAACATTTTCTTAACATCATGATATAATTAACTCCCAACGTAAATCTTTAACAAAGGATACAAGTCAATTATTCAAAACCCAAATGCATTTGTGAATCCTAGTTTTGCTACAATGGATATTTGATTTGAATTATATTACACTTGCTGTAATAACAAGGGATTCATAATACTTACCCCAGGAAAACCAAGTAGATAGAGCCCAAGCCCAGCAAGAGTCACCAGAGGAACAGCTGAAAGAGGACTCAAAAGCCTGAGAAAGTACAATATCCATCAGACAAGTTATACGCATGGACAATTAAGAATCAGATTGCAGCTAAATCAATCTCATTTAAGACACTAAGACCAACCTTACTACAATTCTCCAAAATCCACTGAACCCCACAAGAATCTGAAAGGCTGAAGCAGCGATAAGAGCCCCCTGTATCCCTCTCATAGTTTGCAAAAACCTCTGATAGAGAATTAAAATGAGGAACTCTCAATGGAACCAATTCCTCAAATAAATCAGAGAAGTTTTTAAAGAAATAATGCATTGATGGATTCCAAATCCACAAAATGACTAAAAATGATTTCACAAAAACACTAGAAAGTACAACTGCATAAATTAGGTTGAAAAAAGAAGAAGAAAGATACAAAGAACTTAAAGCCCACCTGATGTGGATCAGGAACATTGCTGTACCGGTTGGCAAGAATGATGGAAATAGTGGGAATTACAAAAGTGTAAGACCCTCCTATCACGACAGGAAGACGAGTGCCAAAATAAGTTTGGAGTAATGTGTTGATTCCCGCCACAAAGAGTGCAGTTTGGATCACCCTAGCCTTCTCTTCCTAAAATAACAAGAGTAATAACATTAAAGAAAATATTTGTCAAAAACATTTTTTTAAAAAACAAGAGCAACCCGTTGAAGGAAGAAAAAGAAGAAGAAACAAGCTTTCGTTGATATCTTACGTTTCCTCCTCCCATTTGAGGAACCAAAGCAGTTTGGATTATGACAATTGTGCCAAGCATCACCAAGTAGTGCTGAAATCCCAGTACAAATGCCTCAGCTGCAATGAAATACAAATAATTAAAGGAATGTTTCTCAAAATGGAACAACCAAGTTGAAATTAAAAATGATCCTTGATAAGTTTAATGAAATCACTGAAAAGGGAGAGAAAACGACCAAAACAATCAAATCAGAGTTGGATGCAATAATATGTTCATAAATAGATTGAAGAAAAATGGCTTCATTTTTTTACTTCCTTTCTTTGTAAAAGAATGGTTCAAATAATGCATAGAATGGAAGATAAAATACCATAAAATCACCTACGAATGGTAAACATTTTAAATTAGCAGCTTTCCTTTTCTTTTTTTGAATAAGCTATACTAGCATTTCATTTGAAGCGTATATGACCACGGACTCAGGCATTGAAATGGGCAGGGCCCGTGTCCGTCATTAGACTAGGCTGAATCTCAACAGGACTTGACAGAGTCTTGTAGAAAATAACACAGAAAACTTGGGAACCATTGAGGCAGAAACAGAGCACAGTTATAAATTTCAGCCAAAAAACAACACCACGAAAAACTCAACACAAGAAAGAAAATGGTCTACAAAACAGAGGAATCGATTAGAAAACATTGATAAACACATGTAGAGTATTAAAAAAATTATGCTTAGTGAACAAAGTTTGATTATCTTCTTTAATAACAGCACAATAAAACAGAAATTAAACAAACCCAAACAAATAAATAAATCAAAAGACAAAAATTGCACTGTGCTGCTTCATATGAACTAATTATTTTTCAATGAATTTCTACAATCAAAATTGTTAAAAATTTCCATTAAAAATCCAATGTTTCATAGATCAGTTTTTTCTTTTCTTTTCTTTTCTTTTTTTTTTTCATTTTTCTCCTGTTGGAGGCTGGGGTTGGGGTGGCCGCAGCAGAATAGTCCATTAATCACTTTCAATAATAAGAATATGGTCTAGAAAACTGACAAAAAAAAAAGGAACAAAATGCATAGGTAATTCCGATAGATAAATAAATGTAAACTAACTTCTTTCTCAAACGAATTTCTACGAAAAAACAATTAAAAAATCCATCAAGACCTAATCTTTCCTAAACCATTTTTTTGGTTTTGGTGTGAGGTATTGTTTGTAAACACTTTCAGTGAAACGAACACGACATAGGAAAACCAAGAACTCGATAAAAAACAATCTATATGAATTCCTCCTGTAAATCGATATATGTTTGAAGCACAAAAAAATGACTAGAAAAGCAAAAAATGCAATAACATTTTAATAAAAGCAAAATGCAACACTTTGCCTATTTCCAACTGTTTTTTTTTTAAATATTTTAATAGGTTTGTGAACGTGAAAAATACTACCATACCAAATTTGAGCTTAATCAGATGTGTAGAAAAGGAGATAAAATTAAAATATGATTTATGCCATCAAAAAGTAGGACTTGTGTAAAATATGAAATACATAAAATTATTTTGGATTTCTGAAGAAAAAAAAAATGAAGTTTTCTGTAAATTTCCCTAAAATAATTATACTTTTCAAAAAAAAATCTACATTAAATGGTCAAGAGAACCGTCAAAACCCGATACTCCATAAACCACTTTTTTTTTCATATGCCTTTTTCATTTATTAGAAAATGGTCCAGAAAAAAGAGGAATTCCAGAAACCACAATGAAGTTCAGTAAGCAAAAATAAATAAAAGAATTCCTATAAATAAAAAATTGTTTCAAGCACAAAAGAACTCTGATTATCTCATTTAGTAATGCAATAGAATTTCAACAAGCAAGCCAAAAAAAAATTTCTATTCTTGAATCGCATTCTTTATCTTCTTCTTTTTTTCTTTCTTATGATTTCGAATAAACCACTTTAAGAAAATTCCATAAATAAAACACTTAAAGATAATTGAAAATGTTTCCATTAACGCTTTAATTCCAGTGAAACGGCATAAAGAATAATAAATGTAGAATGCCCTAAATTTCCGCTTTGGATTAAAGATGATGTTGATGAAGGCAATAAAGAAGAATGCATCAACCGCATTAAAAACCGCATTACTAAAAAAAAAGTAAAGTGTAACATGTTGCGATTTTGGTTACAGAGAACACCAAACGAGAGAGACGCTTGAGTTACACCAGGGAAACGCCTGAACAGACTAAAATGCATGCATTCATCGCCAAAAAGAAAAGACCATAAAACTTTTCCAATCTCTCTCTGAAAGGCCGAAGAAACAGGGCAGTAAGCTAGACGAGCGAGAGAGATAGAGAAAGTGTATCTAAACTTCTCCTGAGAAAAGCTGAAATTTCAGCAATAGACAGAGAGAATGCAGGAACAGACACTCTACATCACCATTATTTCACGGGATGCCACTATTTCACAGGAAGAGAGAGAGGCTGTACTCCTACAGAGAAACACTGAATTGCGGCAAGAAGAGAGAGAGAGATCTAATTCAAAGAAGTATGACTTCTATGACAATAAGATTGGAACTATACAACACTCCAGAAAAAAGAGAGCTCCAAAACCAGAAAGGCACTCCAAATTGCTCCTCAAACTCCAAAATGAAACAGGAAAAGGAAATACAGAGAGAGCAAATTACAACAGATAAACTCTAAAATAAGAGAGAGAGAGAGGCCTAATTGAGAAAGAAAGTGAGAGAGGCCTAATTGAGAAAGAAAGTGAGAGAGGCCTTACGCCAAGGGGGTGGGCTAGTGAGACAATAATGCACGCCAGGAAGCTGGTCTTTCACTGGATGAGGCTGAAAGTCGTCTTGTTTGGGTTGAGCTCCTCCTCCTCCGCCACCACCCGCCATTTGCCTTTAAAATCCGTCAACCCACAAAAACCAGACCAATATGAATCCTATAATTCACTTTTCTCCCTCCATATGACCCGAAAACCAGTTTTCCCGCACCAAAATGAGACCGAAGCTCACCGGAAAATTGAAGCTCCAACTCAGGAAATGTGTTCTCTGACCAAACAACGACAATAAATAGCACTGAAAACGGCGGCGTATAAAAGGTCGGAAACCAATCCCCAATGGAAGAGGAAACACAGAAATATGGCGCGAAAACAATGATATGGCCGGAAAATGAGATTTTCCGGCCACTTGAAAACGGAAAGAGAGGGAAGGCGACGCCGCCTGTTGAGGAGAGTGGCCCCCTTTCTTATCGTGGTGGAGAGGTACAGAATGAGGAAGCAGGTTGCAGGCAGCATGGCAGGCCGTTTCCTCCTTATTACATATTATTCCTTCTCTCTCTAAAACTCTCTCTCTCTCTAGCTCTTGTTTGAATTGTTTCCCTCTCTAACCCTCTTTCCCCTATTTTTCTCTCTCCATCTCTCTTTCGCTCTCTCTCACATTTTTCTTCCTCTCATCTCCTTATTTCAATTTTTCGTTCTCTCGATTGCTTCTCTTTATTTCAATTTCTCACTTTCTCTCTCTCTCTCTCTCTTCTCTTCTCTTCAGACAAAAATATCGCTGAAAAAATATAGCAAGAGGAACTAAACGGGTGTAATAATTAAAATCGTCGGCGTACTTTACGGGAGCGACAAAACTGCCCCTGCTTCGTGTCCTTCAATTGACTCATGTACCCCTCGTTGATTGTCTTAACTTCGAAAATATACCGTCCGTACAATGAAGGGCGGGAAATGAAAGCAACCCTTGTTCCAGGGTGGCAATGGTCCACGACCTAACCCTGAAGTCCTCGACTCGAGGGGAAGACCCGATCCGGGTGATTGGTCAGGTTTGAAGCCAAATCTTGAACTTGAATACTATTTAGGTTTAAATCCGAAAATATTTTTCAGGTCTCAATATATAAAATATATTTAAATATAATTAAATACATAGATATTTTAATTTTTTACTCAAATCTGATCGAGTCGAGGTCCCACACTATATTCAATTGTTCAAGTTTGGATCCGATCGAGTAAGGGCCCTTGTCCCATATCATTTTCTAGCGTTTGGACCATACCCAACCCGTTGACTTATCCTAGAATATTATGAAAACACCAAAAGAAAAAGTTTGTTGCAACCTTAAAATGTAGAATTATAGATGCCCCTCAAACATCTATCATAAAAGGTTGTTTGGATTTTGGATGTTAAAAAACTCTCTAATTGACGATCTCAACATCAAGATGTAAGATGTATGAGTATATATATAAAGTTTGCAAGTGTGCAAAAACAGTGTATTTTGAGACACATTATCTAAACCATCTATTTTCAAGATTTTCATGTGTTTATAGATCTACTTTATTTGAATCACTTTTAAAGTTTAAAATTTTATAATTAAAAATAAAAATAGATTTTCAAACCATTTTAAGAATTTTTTATATCAAAATTACATTTATGAAAAAACTTAGAGGTATGCCTTAATTGGATTGTTTAATATTAAACTTTATACAAACCACGCTTATATTTAAATATAATTAAATACATAGCTATTACCCATATTTAAATATAATTAAATAGAAATATTTTAGTTGAGTCTGGGTCCCACACTATATTTTCAAATTTGGGTCCGGATCCGGTCGAGTTGGGGTCGAGTCCCGTATCATTTTTTCAGGTCCCCTACCCAACCCGTTGCGTTATTTCTAGAATACTACGAAAACACCCCTCTTCTTTTATGAAAACATCCAAAGTATCCTTGTTTCAAGTGTTTGTGAGGGGGTAAAACAGTCATTCGAATAAAACGAGGTGAAGCTTTTCACTTCCTCCCAAGGGTATTTTGGGTACTCTTTGGGGAGGACTGAGGTGGCTTAGCCGTTGGAATAGGGGCATTTTGGTCGCTTGTACGGGGATTTCAATAATTCAATGAAATATTGCGAAAAATGCTGGCTTTGGTAATATTGTAACCTTTTCTATTTTTATCCTTCCCTTTCATTCACCGAACGTCCCTTTCATCCTGCGTCCTTCGTAACTTCTATGAAATATTCTTCCCACCAACTCACATTAGCCTTTATATATGGAAAAAGTTTATACAAGGTTCCGACCTTAAAATATAGAATTAAAGTTGTGCTTCAAAATTTTATTAAAAAATATTGTTTTAAAGTTGAAAAACTTTCTAATTGATCTTCTCGATATCGAAATGTATGAATATGAAAAAAAAATAAAAAAATTCAGTCTGCATCTTGCAACACATTATCTAGAATGTCTATTTTCAAGATTTTCATATGTTTATAGATCTACTTGATTTTAACATTTATTGAAGTTTAAAATTTTATAATTAGATATAAAAATAAATTTTCAAATAATCTTAAGAATTTTTTACACCAAAATTACATGTTATGATAAATTTAGAGATGTACTTTATTTGCATTGTTTAAAGTTGCAACTTTATAAAAACCACACCCTTTAAATATCAGTGCGGTTTCTATAAGGATGAAACATTAAACAATCCAATTAACGCGTACTTTAAAATTTTATCATAACATGTAATTTTGTTATAGAAAATTCTTAGTATTATCTTAAAATCTATTTTAATACTTAATTAAAAAAATTTAAATTCCAAAAATGGTTAACATCAAGTAGATCTATAAATATATGAAAATCTTAAAAATTGATGGTCAAGATAATGTGTTGCAAGATGCACTGTTTTCGAGACTCAATTTTTTTTTTTTTCATATTCATACATCTCAATGTCGAGATGATCGATTAGAGAGTTTATTTAACATTAAAACAATATTTCCGACAAAATTTTGAGGTATTCTACATTTTAAAGTTGCAACCTTATATAAACTTTTCCCTTTAAATATTAACATCACTATTTTTTTTTGAAAAGTTAACATCACTATTTTAACCCACAAGAATAGATATCATGTTAACCCAAAGGAAACTTCAACTTATTTTCATAGGTAAGCTTCATTCTTACTAGTGTTATTTAGATAATTTTATTATCTATATTTCATATACTTGTTTATTCATTTGTTTTATTAGATGGACATAAGTTATTTAAGAGTATTGTGTGTGGTTTAGGCATGGAATAAGTTTATGACAAGTCATTAGCACGTGCATTAGGGGTTGAGAGAGACAGTTGTTTGAAGTTTATTCATTTATATATGTATTTGGGAAAAGAACAAACGCGTTACCTGAATTTTGACTCAGGTTAGAGAGATAGAGAGGAAACAACACCATGGAATGTAAAGTGGAAAGATGTTAAATTACACGTAATAGCTAAAGGACACGCATGGTAAGCAAGCTTTAATTGAAATTTTTTAATTATTATGCAATTATTCTTGAGTAAATACATGGAAACGCAGCTTAGGCCACTCTGCTCTTATGAACTTACAAGGCAGAGCGGCCTAAACTATGCTGAAGACACAATTGTTGAAAAATATTAGACACTATGCCATAAAGAGATGACAAAACATAGACATTTTTTTTCCCGTTTTTGGGGGTAATTTATTTAAGAGTGCGGTTTGTATAGAGCCTAGGCTCGATACAATCAAATTAGAGCCTACCTTCAAATAGTGTCGAGAAATGTGGTTTTAATACGGGAAATCTTTGTGATAGCCTTAAAATATATTTTTATATTTATTTATAAAGTTTAAAGTTTAAAAAATAGTGTAGATCGACATATCTATGAAAACTTGAAAATCTTGAAAATTGACGGTAAAAAAATGCGTTATCAATTGCACTATTTCCAAAACTTGAAATCCACTTTTTCCTCATGTCCATGCATCTTGATGTCTTTCCAAAACTTGAAATCCATTTTTTTCTCATGTCCATGCATCTTGATGTCGAGATGATCAATTTGAAGATATTTGAGCATCAAAACAACCTCTTCTAATGAAATTTTTGAAGTATGCTCAAATTTGATTCTTTAGAGTATCGGCTCTATAAAAACTTTTCCCTATATTTAATGCACTTGCTCCTTGGGCTAGAAAGTTTTCGATACACTTCTAGGCGTAGGGAATTTATACATGTCACTCTCTCCCAACGGTCATATCTGAACGAATGACTGATATAGCCTCAACCATAATATCACAAATGAGCCTTGACCATTTGATTTAGATACGACGGTTTATGATATTTTTTAATGTGCTTTCTACCAATTCAATAAATATGAACTTTGGTACGTGTAATCATCTTAATGGGGCGCACCTAAAAAATATTTTTAAAAACAAAATGACCAAACTACCTTTGAAAATTTTAGGAGTATTTTAGTTATTTTATTTTTTAGAAAATATTTTTTTATATATTTCATAGGTGCGAGCCTATAAAAATATTGGAAGCCCAAACTTTAATGTGAATATGTTTTGGAAAAAAATAAGGGGTGACATTATGATTGAGACCATCTCAACCATCCATTCAAATCCGGCTGGGAGAGACGTGTCATGTAGAAATTCCCTGATCCTAGTTGCATATCAAAAGCTTTCCTTTTATCTAATGTTATCTAATGCACATGCTTCGATTTAACAATGTCAAACAAGACCTAATAGAAGAAATAAAAGGGTGCAAATAATTCTTAGGAAATTATCAATATTCAATCAATTAAGCCCCAAAAATTATTGTTTTAGCATTTCTAAGTCAGAGATATCAATGCAATTCTTAAATTTCCGATCCCAATTGTAAAACCATATTCACTAGGACCCCAAATTAGTTTATTGCACCTTTCATTATCTAATATTAGGTGGGAAGAACCTCTCAGCTCTACCTTCCTCCAGTGAAAAAGCATAGGTAAAAGTCTTAACATGGGTTCATTTTTAGACCCCTCTTTGCACGTTTTTCTCCTTTCGGGAATTGAATTGCTCGAATAGAGTGGTCTGGCGAACTATGCTGCCACGGGAGCATACTATGCATTTGCTCACTCAGGCAAAACACTTGTAAGAATTTTTTTTTTTTTAATTTGAAATTCAGGATCCATCTAATTAGTTATAGATGATTATATTTTTAAAAAAAAAATGGATTTTTAAATCTTGAACGTCTAAATCATTCCATTCAAGAATTTGATGGCTCCAGTGCAATCACACAGGCTGTTCTAGGCATATAAGAAGCGAGAGTTAGAAAGTCTTTGGCATGTTGCTTACTATTCAATTTTCTAGTGTCTCTGAGCACGTGGGGCGTTTCTCCCTCTCAACTCTGAAGGAGAGGGGGGAGGAGGTTCTCGACGCCATCGGGACATCTACAGTCAATATTTTTATTTGTGGGAAATATCTACCATCCATTTTCAAGTGATGGACTTT